TCTGGATTCAACATAGAACTTGGCACCGAAGTGCAGAACTTCGAGTTGCCACGTTCCAAATAGCACACAAAAGTAGACAAGAAGATGAGTGAAGAGAATCAAGAGAGTTTGACAAGTATATGAGTGAAACAGAATGGGTAATGGTAGAAAGAAATATGAAAGATTACAGAGACTGAATACATCTGCGCTGGCCATTGACAACGATTTTGAGCCATGTCACCTATTGTCTCCAGCCATTGATTCCTAGAGTCCCGAGGGCCCCAACCCGGAAGTCTGCATCTCCCTACCTGACTCGGTTTAACTGTCAAGGATTTCACGGATTGGTGCCATGTTTTTGTTTGGCCACCACTTACTCTTTTCCAACCTGCACCTATATCAGCTAGTAATGCCCGTCGGGGGAGGCGATGGTTAGGGATGCGCAGCACGTGACCTAGCCATCTCAGTCTATGTAACTTTATAGCCTCGTCGATTGATTTTCCCTCTTTGCCCAACACTCTACGCCTAACGTCAGCATTACTTACCTTATTAAACCACCTAACGTGAGACAGAGATCGCAGACATCTATGATCGAAAGCAGTCAACCTTTTCATGTCTTCAACTCGTATTGGCCATGTTTCAGAGCCATAGAGAAGGACGGAGCGAACTGATGAGCAGTACACACGTCCCTTGGTTGATGGCCGGATGTCACGCCTACGCCAAAGATGGTGTAAGTCAGCGAAAGCAGCTCGAGCTTTTTGGATCCGTGCTGAGATTTCATCGCCAATCAGTCCGTTGGTGCTAATACAACTTCCCAAATAGGTGAAGTGGTCAACATGTATCCGAGATGACTAAAGTTGGGTTATAATTCAACTGGCAGACGTTGGATGGACTAGTAATTCGTAGGCATTTGGTTCGAATCCTGCCGTACGTAGCCAAGATTTCCATTTCATCTTTAGTCGTTACCCGTTAAATAAACAGTGGCCTGTCAACCGAATGCCATTCCAAAGTCCTAAAATCAGTGGAATTAACAACCAAACAGTGAGTACAACACATTTCATGTAGTAACAAGGATGAAAGGCATAAAGGCCTGATCGAGATGCAAAAATCTCCTACATTAACAATTACACCGTAAGAAAAAAGCAGAACTGAAATACTTGGAAACAAACTCAAAAGAAATTACCAACTTTGTAGACTGTTCAACTATTAGACAGACATCAACCAAGGTAAAAAAAAATAATGCTCATAGAATCATATAGATAAGGGAAGAAAAATGGTAGGCAATGCAATTGAAGCAAATAGGTAGAACATTTATCAGGTAATGATGATAGGGGAATGAAATCACTCAGGATTCACACAAGTGGGAAGTTGTAAGTGAATAAGGTTACCTTCCACCTTTCGGAACAGAACATGATGCAAGCATCCAAGATGTTCTAAAATGGTTATAGAATTTATATCATTTTATGATATTAAATGTGTAAAATCATAAAACAAAGACTTCTCTATTTAAATCACATCAAAGGTGATTTAGTTATCTTATATCCAATAGACTACTTCAAAAACGATGCCATAGAACGATCCTATTGATCTTAAAGTGCTTTAAGCTAGAAAATGAATTTTACTGTATCCGTAAAAAACCTACATTTCTACTACTTGAAGAAATGAAAGTGCTTTCGTGTCTTCACTATAAGTCCTTTGAGTTTTGAATGGAACATATAACCTCAACAGCACATTGTCACTACACTCTTTTCTCTGCTGTCTAACTTAGCTGCCTCCACGACTGCCCATAAACTTTCGTCTAGCCTTAATATGATCTCCTCCATGTGTCATCCCTGACCCCAACTTGTCGCTTAGCAAAAGGTTAGCACACGAGGACCTAGTGCGTGACGTCTCCTGAATGTACCCTCAACGTGTGTCCAACTCATCTCCATATGCATATTTTTGAACAGGTTATTTGGTTGGATCGTTAACAGAGTTTCCCGTCATTCATCCTCGCTGGCCATCTGACTTTCAGTACTGAGCAAAAGTAACCTCCTGGTCAGTTTTCATTTCACAATTAAAAAATCCACTGAAATCTTTATTTATTCCTTTGACGAGTGATTTAACTATGTGCATATGATTGGATACATTCATATTTTTAATTAAATACCTCTTATTTGACAACTGGTGCAAACACTACAAGTCAGTATTACGTCACACTAGAAACTACAAATTTAAATGGTTTCATCAGTGCCACTTTTTCGTTTAAATATTTTTAGAAATGCTAGAAGAAAGATTTTTCGTATAACACTAATATGCTTTGTAATTCAGCCCTTCCATATACATATTAGTATCATCACATCTAGTGAATGAGAACTATCATGCTTTTAAACATCCCACTTTGAAACAAATGCTTATACACTAACTGTCAAGGTCTAGACAGAGAGCCAAATAACATCACACTAATCTCTACACAATAAATATAACCTTTTGTCCAGTACACAGATATGTATTTAGTTATTACAGTATACTAGTTATCCCGTTGTATTGACGCACTGCTTTTAAGGTTAGATTGATGTCATAACTAACGCAGAAGCAAAGGATTTAAAAATGGAAATAATAAACAAAATATAATAATTTCAAATACAAGTAAACACGACTAAATGCATTAAGAAAAGACCTTTACACATGAGCCTTAAAATGCACTGAGCACATCATGCATAAATAAATATTAGCGGAATCTATCATGCAAGTAAGCAAGGATTGTTTGTAAGAGTCATTATCAATTTCCATAAGTCAATTTGGCAGAGAAAAATGACTAAGTACACAGGAGAGTAACTGGAAATTCTAGTACACCCACCCACCCACGATATTTCTTCTATGATTTATATATATATATATATATATATATATATTTCAGCTATCTAGAAAGTACATTGTTGATTACTTTACAGTTACTTAGAGGGCAAATAACAGTCCTGAATTTCGCAGAATGACATACATACTTCCAAAAATACGAGTAGCTATTTAAAAATCTTCGTAAATAGGAATATGATTACTCAGAATGAACAGAAAGGGCAATGCAGTATCTCATATGATGAGGAACAGTTTATTGTATCAGTTAATTAGTAAACTTATAGTTACTTATTCAGGAAATATTAGCACTTCCCAAAAAGTGTTTCTAACAGGTTACAGACTGTCGTCGACAGCCACCTTCGGCTGGCTCCATACTGAATATCAGATGGCCGGAAAGGATCAACGACACCAACGACAACAACAAGGAACTCTGACAACGGATCAACCAGCAAGTGATCATCCAACAAATATGCAGAAGGAGATAAAAATGGATTGGGAAGACCACTGAGTGATATCACGTGACAGGCCTCCATGTGGAACCCGAGTGAGAAACGATGAACTAGAGGGTCTGACGATGACATAGAGAAGATCGTGTGTGTGTGTGGAGAAAATGAAAGCTTAAAGACAATCGTGCAACCATCTAAAGAAAGAGCACAGACGACAGAGTAAAATAGCTATATGCCCCTGAAGTCCTCGTGTTCCACTTAGAAGCCAGAGGAATAATAATTATAATAATTTAGGGGATAGAATTTTACGTTTCATTTCTATTCATCGACAACTGAAGGTAGATTAATGAATAATCTGAATAACCTATCCAAACAATCAACTAACTAACCACAACTGAACAAGAAATATCATAGATAATCATTAATAGCATAACAACAGAACAACATGCAGAAAAAGAATATTTTCCAATTTCAAAATTCAGTATATCCGGAAAGTGTATATACTGGTTTACACTGAATGATGCACACTTACTTTGTCAGTCTAATCAGATCTTAAAACATGCAGTATGGAAAGGCCTACACAAAAATGAGAGATTGCCGAAAAATATTCCCCATGTTATTTTAGGCACTGTAAAGGCAGTATGAAATTGTTTATAAGCAAAAAGGCTAATGACAACAGACAAAAGTCAAACTCAGGATTTGAATACCATTTCTGTTAATGAATGTTTAAAATCTTTATGACACAAACAGTGATATTCTATCACTGCTTAAAATGTGAAAGATGACTGAAGAATTATTTGCGTATTCATGGTACAGACTTCCACGGATCTTGTCTTTGGATAAATGATGAATTGTTTACTCATCTCATGGTGTAGGTGTGATGTTGTTAAAATGGTTTTCTGGTGAATATCCTGGAACAGCTTATGCAACACCCACCATGTTCCAGTTCACTCTGGCAACACACTTAGTTTCACCCATTCAAACTATATGGATACAGACAGACTAATTCCGAAAAATATTGCCTGGAATCCATTTAGAAAATGTCTCAGTATTTCTCAACAGACTCGTTGAAAACAAAAACACTTGCGAATTAGATAAAGTTGCAGATAAATGCATAAAATATTAACACCCATCATCAATAAACTATAACATTGGGACCAAATTAACTGCAACTTTCATACAATCGAAACTATCTGTCATTAGTCCACATTGTGATTCAGTGTACAAACTAAAAGTGGGAGCATAAGTGATAATATTCGTAATCTGAGAGATTTAAGCACAGTAATCTTCAAGAATAATGATAAATAGACCTTAAGTGTTAACCATCGTGTTGCACAATAATCAGTTCAGTTTCAGCTACGTTTTACATGAAAAATGCTCTTGTCTGACAGTTATAAAATCATGTCAAGTTAGCATAAACAGAAGTTGGTTATATTTTAAACCAAGCAGTATGTGAGCTAATTTTAGTGAATAAGAAGTCCACAAGTTATAACTGTAAGAAGGAAAATTCGAGGTACAAATAAAGTGTTACAATATTCCTCGTCAAACGGCAAGAATATACTCAGATGGACATTACTAGGCATAACATCACATCACCATAGAAAAATCGCATTATTATAAAATAACAGCACACGCATATTAACAAAAGGTCTAGGTAAAGCACCCCATAAATTGAAACTAAATGGGGTTAGGATTATGAATATTGAGTATATGACAATAATAAGGTGTGTTGAAACTACTTACCCGAACCACTCAAAACTGTAATTGAGAATTTAAGGTAATCATTTTAGGCGATAAATAGTAATGAAACAATTAAACAAATCAATCCAATTAGATGTTTATATACAAGGCTTTATTTAATGCTTTTATTTTCTTGTTTAAGGTCGCTAACATTCTTTCTTTCTTTCTTCGGTCTTTGAATTTGGAAAACAAAGGAATAATTCAATTCCGAGCTTTTTCTTCAAAAATAAAAATTCATGTCTACACCGAGTTTGAAATAGTTAACTCAGATGGGAGAAAGTTTTTTTTAGAAAAGCTTCCACCCATACTCGGAAATTAAGAAAAAAAGCTTATATACACGTTACCCATTACACTAACTGTTCAGTGTTCTCGATAACTCAATAGCATTGCCAACACTGTTCTACACATATTCAAACTTTGTGGTTGTAAGAATTTGATTGATTTTAAAGATGTCTTAATAATTTAAACATTTGGATTCACTTTAATTGAATTTTTGACTTTCCCGTCGATTGATTGGACCGAAGTGCTCGGTCTTAGGTTGATATGTCTGTTGGCTTCTTGTGAAGATGCTTTGACGATGTCTGGGCATTTAATTAGTATTTAATTGGTGGATGATGACTAGCAGTGGAATCCAGAGTGCGCATTTCGTCCTGTTTGGGACTGGTCAGCTGGATGTACCTGCATTTCTCAGTGAATGATGATGTTCCCACCGAGGGTCCAACCCAGTGCTCATAGTTTCAAACGCCAAAGCGTTATCCACTAGACCACTTGGGCCACTACATGTCCGCCTGAGACCAAGCACTTCGGACCAATCAGTCGACGGGAAAATCAAAAATTCAACTGAATTAATATGACCCGTTGCACAAGAGATGGCTCTCGTGGTCCAAGTGGTCTAGAGGATAACGCTTTGGCGTTTGAAACTATGGGCACTGGATTCGACCCTCGGTGGGAACATCATCATTCACTGAGAAATGCAGGTACATCCAGCTGACCAGTCCCGAACAGGACAAAATGCACATCCTGGAATCCACTGCTAATCACCATCCACCAATTAAATATTTGAATTCACTGATGAGAATAGAATGCGAATTCGTCTCTAACTCATTGGTCAATATGTTATAAAAATGTGAACAATTCAACGCTCAAAAGATCCTTCATAGATATTTTGTAAATCCCAACTAAATCATTTGCAGGATGTACAGTAAATAAAAAGGCCAATATACCATTTAAACTGGTATAAACCCAAAATGTTGACAATCTGTATTTTCCCAATGATAACACCGTGATAAATTGAAATACGATTCTCATCCGAATGATGATTTTTTTTAAATCGTATAGTTCCTTGTAGGTTGATTATTCCGTATGATGTTCAGCAACCAATTAGGGCTTCATCGATTGGAGTGTCTAAGATGTATCCTGTGCATGCCGAAACACTGCCCTTCTTGATCAGCAATGTTAGCTGGAGTAGGATTAGGTTGGAGGAAATTAAGAGTGGTCGGTTGAAAAAATGTTACCTACCCGAGGATTTATTAACTGGTGGTCTGAACCACAAGGAGAGGTGCATCCTACCTTACTGGGACCCTAGTGGCGTTAAGAGTCAATAGTTGGTGACTGTTTGTGGTGTGGTTCAAAATAATTTACACTGGCGCAGATGTACTTGCTGCTTTTCGCCTTCCAGACTGAAAGTTTTCTCTTATCTCTCACTTAATTATTCCCTCTCCCATATATGTTCGTCCCAAATAATTTCTTTACATTTGTTTTTCTACTTTTGTACGTCCCTGTTTGAAATGTACCTGCTTGAACTGAGACTGAAATCTTTGTGCGGAGTTTTATGTTTTTAAGTCATTGAATTGCACATAATGCAGAAATGGTGATGATTGTTTTGATTAAGGCTTAATAACCATTAAAGATACTCTCAAATGCTTGTAAAGGTTAGTAAAATGTAAAAATTTCCTCAGTATTCCTCATAGCATCACTGACCTTACATCAGCTTGAGCACTAACGGAGCTAATTGCCCCTGATCGTTCTGTGAATGATGACAAAGCTGATAACGCATTTGTACGACCCAATACTCTTCTTTTAGCCTCATCAACAATATTCCATTTGGTTTCATTCTCTTCCGGAGCCATCAAAACATCATCATTAGAGTCACCTTGTTCTTTAGATGATTGAGTTTCCTTTTTCTTAAATTTTATATCACTTGAACATCGAGCTGTGATCATTTTCTTTAGGCTCCAATAAATAGTTGTAACTAATTCCTGAAGCACTGAACTGATTCGATGATTAATGAATGGTGGTCTAATTGGATTGGGTGATTTTTCAGCTACAGAACATTCATCTGTGGTAGTATAAACACCGGAATCCTTTAGAATATTTTCCTCTTCAAACAGATGGTTTGATGGATGACAGGTAACTTCGCCCAGTAATAAAGAGTCCTAGGAAGAAAAGACTTAAGAAATAGATTACTTTGTACATTCAAAAAGTTTCACCAGGGGGAATATAAACAGAATTGTGACTGTAGAAGAGTTAAAACGATAGAATGACTATTACAAAAACGTTTTTAGCAGTAACTTGAAGTTTAAAACCGAATGGGATTCAATAACCAACTAGCACGCTTCATTTTTTTTATTATATTTTGCTGAAAGAGATCAGTAACAGCTTTCATCCTTACTGCAAAAAACGAATTTTCAAACCAACTATGCTATTCGTAGCACGAATGTGAGAAACAGATATGAGGCTTTTCGGTTTAAAACAATTATTGCAAGTTGCAACCAGTGCATCCTGTGCTGGTAACTGAACAGTAGTGTACTTTCTATAGTATTCGAAGGCATCACAGTTATCAACAGAGGTTGAGAGTTAACACTATTAAAGCATTCCATAATCAGTTAACTTCTATCCCAACTTAATATTTTATCCCACCTGTTATTTTGGTTACATTGTTTCCCTTAAACCTTAGTAAACTGAACTGATAAACTAATACGATAGATTTTTCTCAATCCACTGTAAACACTAATAATAATAATAATAAATTTCCATAAGATAAATTCAAGTGATTACCAACATTAAAAAACGTTATCATGATAAAAATCGTACTTCTTTTATTTTCTCAGCCACAAGTGAATTTGCTTCCTCAACTGATAATGAATCACTTTCGTTAATCAGAGGTTTGATCAATAGGAAGAGATGACTCTCCAAGAGTGTATCCGACATAATTTTCTGGCGAGTGAAATTAGAAAATAAGACATTCGGTAGAACAGTTAAAAAATATAATTTACGGTACTGAAATAGCTCCAATATTTTAAGCAAGAGCAAAATACACACATCACTAAATTACTGAAGGTATTCAAAGTTGCACGTAGTGTGACTCATGCATTTTAGTCCCTTCGGTTGTTTTTCTTTTTCATTCATTTCACTGGTGTGAGCAAAAATATATCTATTGTTTCGACCATACTTTAAATTTTCCCCCACTTCTAAATTCTGTATCACGGAGGACCTAACTTTTTCTCTCATTATTCTTTAACGAAGCAAAAATTACTTTCTGGCTCTTTCATCTAAAGAATTCATTTAAAGTTGAATAGAAAACAGGATAACATTCACGAACAAAACTAGAGATCTTAGATTTTATAAAAATGGGTTAAAACGGAGATGATAAGATATGAAACCTATTAGACTTATGAAAGAAAAAAAACGGGAATTTACAATAGTACTCATAAATCTGTAATACCCATAATCTGTTTATAATGAGAACGAAAAATTATTTGCAGTCGGTCGTTTAAAATCGCATTAGTTTACCTTAAAGTTGAACATAAGAACTCATCTCTTATTTAATTGAAAAGCAAAGATGAAATTAACTGTGGTCCATAATTTGTGAATCATTAGTTCACAGAAAGGTAACTCAGTACTCATCTTTGAAAGTTTATCAACTGCCTAACACCTTTCGTTTGTGCTGTTTAATATAACTTAATTACTCAACAGACAATATACTATTATATTTGACATTTTCGGTGTATTAATATGATAACAAGTCAATGACCAGCGGATTAGGTATCATAATCTTTGTTAGTCGAAGCTTTAGCGGTTGTCATTGCTTTAGTGTCACCAGTCAAAAGTTACACTTCAGAAGTTATCCCAGGCGTGCGGCGTATAATTCCGACTTTTCAAAACATTTTGAAATACTCCCAATCATTAGAAATGACTGTCATGCGACTCGAATGAATTAGACGCCTATTTGAAATACTATGGCAACTTTTTCCCAATAAATGTGTACAGACTTCATTAGGCCAATGGCACTTTATATCCAAGTGAGTCCGAAAATATTCAGACGAGATTTAATTGAGTGGAAACACAACTAACCGTAAAAGCTGGTAGTCATCAACTGCTATCACTCTATTTGGGTGCATGTGAACTGATATTTACCGACCCAGTTTTTTAGTGTGACAATCGTAAGTGTAATCCTTGCCATCATGATTTACCGCTATGAATGTTGTTCAGAACTTCTTCCAGATAATAACTATCATGTTGATCAAATACTTGTGTGTAGCCTATATCAAATACACGGACACAACAGTCAATTAACATCTCCACAAAATATTACATCTATTATCTATCGATAAAAATGAGAAATACACGTGCTGAGTAGAAAAGCAACTTACTTTATGTTTCGCATAATCTCTAATGCCTGCTTCAATTTCCTGACGACTAGCACACCATGTGAATGCAAGCAGTCCGACAGTAGCACGATAAGACTGAAAACAACTCCATGCATTGTTGATCGGGTTGTGCTCTTTCGTAAATCTTAACCAAATTGGCTGCCTGCCGGCAGAACTTGATATGCCAATATCGCTGTGCACCTCTGATGAGTCGGACAGAGAATTACGTTTGCAACTATCGATAAGATATTCACTTTTTGAAACTAGAAAGTAGAAGTAACAAGTGCAAACACGGAAATGTCTTATTGTACTGCTACATATTGCTACACTAAAACACTTTTGACTTACACGTTTGGTGTTACAACTCAGCATAAAATACAAAGTACTTAAAAATTAAAATAGGGAAAAAGCACACGAAGATGAAAAAATAGGGAAAATATTTGAATTATTCACAACAAAAATGTCATGAAAAACCACGTGCCATTTGTGGATTTCCAACTGTTTCACATAGCCACGGTCTGCACTATCTCACTGGGAAAAGAAATGTGATGCAAATATGTAACGGTTTCGAAGAGTTCTGGTAGGAGAGTAGTATCAGCAACCTAAAAAGATGTGAATTCTGATCTCATACACGAATGAGTGTGAATTTCCTCAAGCCTCAGTATTGTGAAGCCAGTAATCTACAGGTGCTTTTATCCCCCACCCCCTTAAAAAAAGAACACTGCACACTGTGAGGTTGAACATGAACGTATCTTAATTTTCCTAACCAATGAAAATTTGTAAAGTCATAAGGTCGTACGGGATTCCTACTGAACAATACAAGTAACTAATGACCCAAAAATTGCAGCCATATTATACTTCTGAATATTTCAACTGTGAAATACGTAGACATTATGTTGTCAAGGCCTTTAATGACTAAGTCAAAATTGGATGTAAGAGAAGTGACACATAAGTTACTACTGCGGATATATAAAAAACAGGTGATTTTTAACATGTGGTCTATACACTTCTGTATATAAACGACAGCGTTTAACTTTACATCTTTAGTATGTACTGAACTATTTATCTAATCTCAGTGACAACTAGAAAATACTCCTTTTAGTCTATTTTTATAGATCACCACTGTCAGTACCATTAATAGGGAAGGCTAATACATTTTCGCGGAAAATATCTACTTGTTGAATTTGTTTACTCTGGATAAAGTACTACAGTCCGAACAAGTTATTAACGTTCTGCATAACAATAGTAAGGTCATGGCATTCTCAGTAGAATAAACAGGTTAATTATGCTGAAACAGGCCCAAAAATTTGCTATTTATGAACTTCATAGAACCCGAAACATTTCCGAAACACATAAGACTGTCGCAATGTTTCAGGATTGCGAGGACGTAAATTCTAAGCCACTTAATCTTGGTGGCAGTTCATAAAATTATTGCAGGTGATAGATTATTTGTTTAAGCTATTAAAAACTTCACTGGTTATTGAGCTGTTAAACCGGGAACTGTACAGTACCTAATTTTAGACGTGCACGTATACGTGTTGTGCCCATAGTTCTTGACCAAGCACCAATATACACTTAAATCCTTCTACACACATGAACTTACGAGCACTTCGGATGAATGTAAATTCATAGTGAGTTTGAAGGGAACAATAAAGAGTATTGAAGGCTTCTTCATCACTATCATGTCCCAGGGAAATCACACATAAACTGATCTTCCTGTGATCAAGAAAATTCGCATTATAATTAATGGCGAAATTTCCCGAAAACCGTTTCGTGGGCCTAGTTTTTGGATCCAGGTTGGATGAATTAAAGCACCAGTCTCCTACAATTTAATCTGACCGCGGTTACTGTTGCGGCGTCAATAGCCTTGGCTTAAATCCCACGGCAAAATATTGAAATCAGAGTGTCTGAATAAAGCAACATTTGCATGAAGGTCACTTCCATGGTCATTTGTAATGAGATGAAAACCAGCATAATTTCACTAAATAAGTTTTCCCCCTCTTATTTTTCAGAAAGAAACGCTGACGTAGCTTTACTGGAGCAGGAAGAAGATCGTTTGTCTAGACTTGTTATAAATTATGGCAGTTGGCTTTGTACCTGATTAATTCAAGCTTTGCTTGGTTCAAATAAACACCTATCTCGCTCTCTTCGTTTTCTTCCTTCGTTGGTTGTGGCCGTTAGTATTGTGTGTTACAAATTGGTGTCATACGTGTTTCATCTGCACACAATATGTTAATATATGTGTAAAACTTGGGCACTGTGGTATTAAGTAATTCCATATTAGTTTGATTATTAAATGTATCACACAGTGAAACAGTATCCAGTATACAATACTGTTTCACTGTGTGATACATTTAATAATCAAACTAATATGGAATGCACACAATATGGCAAATCTATCAGAGGATGAACTTCCCAGTTGTGTTCCTGAGGATGGTGCATCAACCTTGCTAAGTGTACCGTTGCTTTACCGCCCACCACTGCTGCAACCGCCGTCAGAACACCTACGTTGAGAGAAACAGATGCAGGCGTTTCTTGACGTTACTCCGTCAGCCCACCACTTCATCGACGTTATCGACGCCCTATCTGAGGACGCCTTCCATCGCGCCGACGCTGCTGGTTTCAGCAGTAACAACTCCATGTGCATAAACTGGCAGATTCTAGACCAGTGCTTTGACCTAAGGCTGGGCTCTCATCATGCCCTGCTCAAAATTCTTGCCCGCCGTAAACCGCTATGAGTAAGTTTCGTGGAATGCCTTCAAGCCCCCCAGCTACTGGCAGCGGGATTTGACAATTATGGGGACTCCACCGGCAAAGATCATCTAGTGTGCACAGGTTTTGTTGAAAGAATAATGCCCGGGGACCTTCACACAAATCCGCGACGTCATCTCTCAACCAGCACGTTGAAGTTACATAGGGTTATCCTTCGTTTCATGGACGCTGAGGGCGATTGGACATCCACATCCAGGAACTCTCTATCCCCAGGGCCAACAGCGTCTAGTGCAACCGCCCTGAACCCTGTTCGCTGCGCCCATTCAAGAACCCAACGGAGCCCTGATGGAGACGTCATCAGTCGCTGCTATTGCAACAACAGAAGACAAGGGCTGGCAACAGATGGTTTTATTACGAAAATCAACACGTATTTATATATATTTTATGTACATTAATAAGGCTTATGCAAGCAGAAAAAGGCAGTCTTCTGATTGGTTGTTTCACGGAAGTTAAGCAGACAAACACAGTCTTATGATTGGTTGTTTTCGATATTTCTCGGAAACTAGAGCCATCTATCTGCGAATCATATTTGTCCACGTTTAAGTTTGCTGTGATTGGTTGTTGACACAGCCTTGTTCATATTTTCTCACGGCCCATATTAGTGACCTAGACATTAACGTAGATTAGTGTCAACCAATCGGCTAGCAGCCTGCTCTCACCACACTATTATTGTCAACGATACGCGAAGAGGGCCCGTAAATATGGTCACAATCTCCTGTCGGACCTCAGTAATTCCCCTGTTTTTAATTTATCTACATATTCTTGTAATCGGCAACCCTTGATGTTATGGGGACATATTAACGGAGCGCCATCTAGAGTACTCTAAATCTCGCCAAGATTACCAGCTCGCTAGTTTTCTAGCAGGTCCCAAGCCCGGGTAAGCAGGGAGGGCTGGGGTGTGGTGCTAGCAACTCCACCCCTGTAAAACAGCCAAATCGCTACAGAAACTTCAACGAATAAATATATTAAAGATTCTAAAAACATAAACGATAACCTTATTTTTTGCTGTAATCGGAGAAGCGAAAGGACGCAGGCTGGTGAAAGCCTCCGGGAAGCCACTCAGCCGATGTGCCTTCTTTCGATGAAAGCAAAAGTAACGATGCGTAACTAGAATGTTCGTACAATGTACGAAACTGGAAAGGCTGTCGCTGAAATGAGAAGGTACAGAATAGAAGTGCTAGGAATCTGCGAGAGCGGATGGAACGGAACTGGAAGGTGCCAACTACCAACTGGAGAGACAATAATCTATTCCGGCCACCCAGAGGACAACCACGAGCACAACGAGGGAGCGGCCATCATGATGTCACTAACAGCAGCCACAGCTCTCATGCAGTGGGGACCAATCTCCTCCAGGATAATGACAGCCAGGTTCAACTCAAAAGGAAAGAAAGTTACAGTCATTCAATGCTATGCGCCTACAAACGTCTCAGAACAAGAGAAGTAGGAGGCGTTCTACAGACAACTACAAACAGTAATGGACAACGTCCCAAATGGCGATATCAAAATCCCGATGGGCGACATGAATGCGAAGCTGGGAGGAGACAGTAGAGGAAGAGAACTGACCATGGGTCATGAGGCCCTCGACGAAATGAACGAAATTGGTGAACTCTTCTCAGACTTCTGCGCCTTCAATGATTTGGTGATTGGTGGCAGCGTTTTCAAACACAAGGATATACACAAGACGACATGGATTTCACCAGATGGAAACACCGAAAACCAAACAGACTTCATCTGAATTTCAAGAAAGTGGAGACGGAGCCTACTGGACACAAGGTCAAGGAGAGGAGCAGATGTGGGTTCGGACCACTATCCAGTAGAAGGGAATTTCAAGGTGAAGCCAAAAGCCTTGGGGATAGCTGGGGATAGGCCATAATGCAAGCTCAACACTCAATTACTGAAGGACACAACCACAAAGGACACTTTCACTGCAACTGTCAGAGCAAACATTCATTAACCTCCTTCAACAGCTGTACGACAACGGCGGCACATGTCAAGTCATCCACAACGGAAAACTCAATGAGGTGTTTGGAATAAACACAGGAGGCAGACAAGGGTGCTTATTGTCTATCACCAATGATATTCCTAATTATGGTAGACTGGATGATGCGTCAGACAGTGGGAGACGAGAAGACAGGGATATCCTGGACCGACGTGACGAACCTAGAAGTCCTGGATTTTGCGCGTGGATGATTTATGTTTGATGTCACTGTCACAAAATCGAAGACTAACAAGCGAAAACCGACAAACTGGTTGAAGAAGCAGCTCGCGAATGCAGAACTCCAGATGAACATCAACAAGACAGAGGTGACGAAAATAACCACCACCAACAACAACAACAGCTTTAACATCCAGCGCCAATCAACATCAACGGGAAGGATTCGAGAGAGGTTACTTCATTCACTTATCTTATCTAGGGAGCATTGTCTCAACTACAGGAACGGAGGAACGGACGAGGGTGTCATATCGAGCGAGAATCGGGAAGGGAGGCGAGAAACACATTCATCAACCGGAAACCAATCTGGAAATCTTCGTCACTCAGCCAGGATCAACGATAAAATTCGTCGGATTTTCAATACAAACAACGTCAAGTCAGTCAGTTCTTCTATACGGATGAGAAACTTGGCAGGCGGGTGGGTCACAAAGAATATTTCCAACAGCCTGTTGTAGACGTTAGCTTTATCAACAACTGTCTTCTCTGGATCTAAACTGAAGATCAGATGGCCGGCCGGGCCGGAAAAAATCACCAACAAGAAACTATGGCTGGGAACCAACAAAACAAGAACCAATCGCCAACCAACAAATATGCAAGAGAAAGTGGAGATGGATTAGACACTCACTCTCTGAGGAGGCCGCTGGGTGACATCGCGCGCGCGTCAGGCCATTGTTCGAGTGGAACCAGGCCGAAAGGAAAGCGGCTAGCGGGACATCGGTGCAAGGGTGACATGGAGGAGATGGTGTGAAGAGGAGTTGAAAGAGTATGGACTAACATGGATGCAGGTGAAAAGTACAGTAGAAGGAAGACAGAAGCAAGTGGAGACGTGCAGCTGAAGCCCTATGTTCCACTAGGAACCCAAGGGAGCAAGAATAATAACATTAAAAATCTAGAGTACTCTTAGACACTGGTGCATTGGTATCCCTCGTAAAAACTTCTTTCCTTCGACGTTTGCCCCAGTACTCACCCCCACTGCAAGACTGGAAGGCCGATTGGCTACACACTTAGAGTTGCACCTAGGAAACCTAAATGTACGCCATCAGTTTCTCATCTGTATGCAGATTACATAAGACCTCATCCTAGGTGTATATTTTCTGACGTCACACCACACCCTTATAGACATCGTATTTCTCTACACATTTATATAGCCCTCAGCAACCGACGTCTTCTGCGTCAGATTTATCAATGTCCATCATCCTTAATCAAATTTCAGTCGATCCTTTCGCTCCTGCTCTCCTTTGAGGGCTAATGCTTAAGCTAATTGAGGAATACACTGATGTATTTGATGGTGGGGCTAATCCAGGACGTACCGATGTTTTCCAGCACCATTTTGATACGGGCAGTCGTCTGCCTGGGCGTCAACCACTCTGACGGATCCCCGTACATTACCAGCCTCAGCTGGGCACTCTGATACAGGATATGCTGGACAAAAAGATCATTGTACCTTCATCCTCTCCATGGGCGTCACCCGTCTTCTTAGTCAAGAAGAAAGACGGCTTCCTTCAAATGTGTATTGACTACCGCAAACTGAATGACGTAAACGGACGAGACGCTTTCCCTGTTCCACACATCGATGCAACTCTTGAAGCACTTGCTGGTTCACAATGGTCCTCTACGTTAGATCTGGCATCAGGCTACTGGCAAGTAGAAGTCCATTCGGACGATTATCTGAAAACTGCATTTGTCCTGCCGAGTGGTCTCTACGAATTTCGAACAATGCTCTTCGGACTATGCAATGCCGTACCACATTTCAATACCTGGTGCAGATAGTCCTTGACAGGTTTGTTCCCCACCAGTGTTTCATCTATCTTGATGGCATTACTGTACATGGGAGGTCCCCAAAGGATCACATGGACAACCCACGGGTTGTACTTACGAGGTTCAGAACAAACGGCTTTAAGCTGAAGCCGTCTAAACGTTCCTGTTTACAGAGGGTAGTCACATTTTTGGGTCACCGAATTTCACCAAATGGCATCCAAACAGACTCAGAGAAAACGCGGCTTATCTCAGAATAGCCTACACCCCAGTCCTATATAGACGTCTGTAGCTTCCTAGGGTTGGCTTCTTGCTATCGACATTTCGTTCCTGGGTTTGCCACCCTAACCTCGCCTCTGCATCGCCCCATAGTAAAGGGCCGTAAATTCCTATGCGCCAACGAGTGTCAACATGCGTTCGACGAGCTAAAGAAGAACTTGACATCAACCCCATGCTTGCATTTCCAAACCCGCCCCATCATCTAGTGCATTATTCTTCACATGGATTTAGGCGCTAACGCTATAGCTGCTGTCCTTTCACAAGTGGCAACTGACGTTCGAGAACGCGTTACTGCATATGCCAGTCGGAATCTGAAAAACTAAAATCACGGTATTCGACGTTACGAAGGTTGATGCTTGCCCTTGTATATTTCCTCAAACACTTTAGACATTATCTACTTGGGCGCTCTTTTGAGTACGCACTGACCATCGTGCACTGCAATTGCTTCCGACATTCCATGAACCAGAAGGTCAGGTGGCTTGCTGGCAAGAACGGTCAAAGGAGTTCGAGTTTACCTGTGGATATCTTCCTGGGTCCCTACATGCTAACGCTAAAGCTCTCTCTCGATTGCCGACGTATGTTTCCCCAGCAAATGCTACACTTAATACGGACATAGATGTGGATTGGGCCGCACTGCAAGCAACTGATGAACATATTCAACCTATTCACCCGCGACAGCCCCATGGGAACGACAAACCATCAAATAAGGAACTACAGTGTTTGTCTGATACAGTACGATGCATCTGTGGCAAGTGGGGCGTGTTACGACTTATTCACAATGTTATGTGTATAGTCACAACCGCCGTTCGCTATAGCTACGTCGAGGTGCCGACCGATGGAAGCAGTGCATATTCCAGTCCACCATCAGGCACCGAGGACAGTGCTCCAAGTGATATTACGGATGATAGCTTATTAATTGATAAGTACAATCTTTTTCGAGGAGATAGGGAAACACGTCGTGGGGGTGGAACACTTATATACGTTAAACAACTCATTTGTGCAACGCATTTTAGTCACCCTATTCTGTCACAACTTGATGATTCGGTGTGGGTCGAAATAAAAGTTCTCAGAAGTAAACCTATTCATCATCCAATCGCGAATACGATAACGTACTCAGCAACATATTTAATGTTACATCCAATCTTCCCTTGAGTTATAATATAATTGGAGGTGACTTCAGTTTGCCTGATATACCATGGCGTACACTTCGTGGACCCTCGATCTATGATAATCTTCTTAATTCCATCATTACAGGAGGATGAAGGCAACACATAAATGTACCCAATAGGTCCGATAACATTCTTGATCTTATATTCACGATCAACGTAGCGCCATCTACAATTCATGTGGGACATGAATTCCTAGGTAGCGATCATAAAATAGTTGCGTGTTCGTTGAATATTCCTCCAGAAACTATACACAGAAGCGAAGTTAGTCGGACACCTATAAAACTATACACGCATGTTGATTGGGCTTGTATCAGGACTTGATTAGATACTCTAATTGGGATTCCTACTTTACTAATGACTCCTTAGAGGAAGTCCTTAAAAACTTCTATGACAATATACAGTCTGTTAATGATGTCATAGCGCCTGTGAAATTGATTAAATTCAAAATCCCCCAAGTGATTTTATTCCGATATCATAAAGAATAAGTATGCGGAAGCATTCATTAAGTTACTACAGACATGACGACTTATCGTTGTTAATCGCTGTCAAAAGAATCCTCATTAGAATCTATGAGTTGAGAAATCTAAGTCTTAGGAATAAAGAAACGCGGGCAATCCAGTCGCCACATAACACTGGAGAAATAGCCAAACTCTTCAAAAGTAGGTTAACTAACTCCAAATCAACATATCCAAAAATAATACACGTAGGCGGCATTACTCACGAAAGTGCTGAGGATATATGCTAGGTGTTTGGCACGCACTTTGCCAAGCTGTACACTCTAGAAAATGACCAGGATATAGATTTCCCTCGTAAAACAGAAAAGTGTTTAAGCGATGTAGTCTTAAACGCCCAAGAATTCGATAAAGCTATCACAACTCTTAAGCTTACTAATACTCCTGGCCCAGATGGAATGTCTTCCGTCCTCTTAAAAATGGTGGAAATGACATGAATCTGCTTCTTCTCAAGATATTTTCAACTTCGATAAGGAGTGGAACATATCCAAATAGCTGGAAGGAAGCTTACGTTGTACCCATTCACAAAACCGACCTACAACGGACACAGATAACTACCGCCCCATCAACATCACTTCCGTAGTTTCACGTGTGATGGAAAAGATTGTAAAGAAGCAAATTGTTCAGTATTTGCTCTCGAATGACTTAATATCGCCTTTCCAATACGGTTTCCTAAATAGAGGATCGTGCATTACTTGCCAGTTAGATTATTTCGACCACATTACTGAATGTGTAGACAAAGGTCGTTCGGCAGCAACATTATTTCTAGATGTTAGGAAAGCTTTTGATAAGGTCCCACATAACAGACTCATATTGAAACTCCTATCTTATGGAACAAGTGGAAGGCTACTTGAGTGGATAACTTCCTTTCTTACAGGAAGAGAACAGTTAGTTAAAGTCAACCATCACTTATCAACATCCGAACCGATAACCAGTGGCGTGATACTAGGTAGTGTTCTTGGCCCTACCCTATTCATTGTATTCATAAATGATATTGTCTCTATGATCAAGTATGGCAAGCCATACCTCTCTGCAGATGACCTCAATGTTGTCTATGATTTTGACTATAATCATGTGAGTATTGCTAGTAAAATCCAAGAAGACCTGAATAGTCCATGTAATTGGAGTGAAAAGTGGCAGTTAACGTTCAATCCAGCTAAGTCTGGGATAACATACTTCGGACGTTGGAAACCTAGCATGTGTCTATACATGTACGGTGACCTTGTCTCAAACACGAACACAGCCACAGATCTCGGGGTAACATACTCAGATCTTACCTTTACTGAACATGCAAATAAGGTGGTATCTGATTGTAAACGTTTAACCGGCTTTGTGCTACGCGACGTTTACACTCCAGAAGCCAGATTAGCCATATATAAGATATGCATTCGCCCCAAACTTGTATACTGTGCTCACTTATACAGTAGCTTTAAATCAGCAGACAGAAAAAAAGTTGAAAGTGTCCAAAGATTCCTCACGAAACGCATATTGGGCTATGATCAGCAAATAGAATACCTTGACAGATGTATTCGACTGGACTTAGAGCCCTTATGGATAAGGAGAGTGAAGTGCAATTTATTTCTCTTATTCAAAGTTATAAGAAAGCACTGTAACAGTAACTCGTCCATAACCTGGGCTAATCCTAAATCGTATGGACTACGCAACCATAACTACCTTCTCAAGGTTAACACCCATAAACTCACCACTAGAGCTAACTTCTTCACCATTAAATATTGCAAACTTTGGAACCAACTACCCTCAGAGATTAGATCCTGTGGAAGGCCTGACAGTTTCAAAATGAGCCTAGAAAAACATATTAACATGTCCACCCTAGCCTCCCTAAAAGATCACAACTGCTGGTAGAGTGGTGAAAAAATGACATTCCAATATTTAACTACAGAAAGTACACTAGTTCCTAGACTAACATAATAATATTTAGTAAATATGCATGTTGAGTACTTGAAATTAGATTGTCATTGAAATACTAAAAATGATTAAAATATTTACGCAGCAAATGTTCTCTTGCTTTATCACACTTGTTTCCCTTATAACACTCAGTGAAGTTTCTTATTTCTGTAATGGTTAAGTCTATCAAACGTGTAAGTACTGTTAAGAGACTGAGATCTAATACTAGTCAGCCATCTGAAGGCCTCAGCTCCGTTGAAAATTCTACGCTTTTTACACCGGCCCTACCCAGAGTTATGGTATCTGATATCATGGAGGAATTGACAGAGAATGTGGCTTGTAGCAAAAATGATTTACTGACACTTCAGAAGTCAATAGCAGAACTACAGAGCAAGTTTGATAGCATTATGCCTCTCACGCAACTGTGTGACCCAACACAAAACATCTGTCTTGAATCACTAATCAAATCCGAGCGCATAATTGACTATTTGGCTGAAGAAGCTGTTAAGAGGATTATGTCTTCACACAACGTCTTGGCCTATAACATTCCAGACAGAGAGCCGATTGCCAAACTTAAGAATTCGTGTCTAAAGGCTTGTAATATGTCGTTGACAGAATGTCAGGTTTTGCGTCTTCGTAAGAAATCTGCAAACCACCCGTGTCCTGTGCTTTTCAAGTTTAGGTCTACTGAAGAAGCCAGGAATTTTCTGAAATCGGGTAAGACAATAGGCTCTTCAACACCATACACTAACATTAAGGTTGCACCTGATTTAACACCATGCCAAAGGCGATGCCGCCTAGGAACAGTGAACGCTGATAACTCTAATAGGATAACTGTAGATGGTGTTCCGTGCGTTATTCCGTCTAGTGAAATACCTGATCACGGCATGCAACAGACATTTTCGCAGGCACTGGCAAATGTTAGCCAAGCATTATACAACGATATTGATGCTGACACTGAAATGGTGGACATAGATGAATCAACGGGAAATAATGTTGAAATACATCGTTTTCACACTGACGCAAAAGTCAAGACACCGAAACCATCAAAACCCATCCCACTGGTGTTCCAACCATTGCCTTATAAGTCAGTTACTCCGCAGTCTGACAATCCACACTCTGTGAAGCACCAGTCGAATGTAGCTACCCAAGTTGGCAAGTTTTTTAGGCGTTATGACAAACGTCCCATTTCCATTAAGAAAACTAAAGCTCATGAGGTGTCCAAGCCACAGAAACCCTACATAGCATGTGCTGGCTGCCCTGTTAGCCATCATCAGCCAGTTGATCATAAGATAAGGGAAAAAGAAGTAAATAAATTAAATACCAGACCCGGAGCAAGAAAGCCCTTTGATATGAAAGAGACGAAAGCACCGCTAGGCCTTCTTTCTAAGAGAAAGTCAGATATGGTAGGCCTAATTGGTGTCAAGTGGAAAGCCAATTTTATCGAATCCCTAATTCTAGACAAACAGCACAGCAAGGTAGTAGGCATTATTCTGCGCATCCACTACGTAAACCCCTTGTAAACCAGCCCACTTCTAATATTCTGTCGACTGAAAGTTATAGAAAATACCCCAAACATCGGCCACAGACCACATTTAGCAAGCCAACAGAACCCATTCATACATCTTATGTATCTAGTGGGGAGCATGTGCCGATTTCTGCACAAAACTTGCCATGGTCTGATGAATACCAGAAACAGATACCAACACTTCATTCTTATACTGGCAACAAATTACCGAATACACATATCGGTTATACCTTAGGGCAGGATTTTCACCAGCGTCAGTTAACAGAAACACCTGGAATCATGCATATAGCACGCATGATATCGGATCAATTCCTTGCTGGCATAGCGAACAGTCTACAGCTAGGGCAAGGCATATTTCCCGGGAGATAGCTGACACAGTGTCGACACCAAACGCGGATACTAATATCTCTAAAATATTAATATCTGATTATCACACAGGTGTCTCTCACTGCATAACATATCCAAACGTAAGCCCATCCCTGACTACCACCTCAAAAATCTACCTGAAGTCTTCCTACGATCCAAAGATATTGGTAAATGAGTCTGATAACATGTATATAGAGGATACTCACGGATTATTTTACCAAGATGTTGTCCGCTCACTGAAACCACATAGCCAGTGTTTATCTATTATCCTAGTAAATACGAGATCAGTTCTAAGCAAACACTTAGCACTAAGTACATTAGCTTCTATATGCAGACCGTCATTGATTATGATCACCGAAGCCTGGTGCACAAGTGAAATCTCCAATGACAGCCTAAGGATTGAGAAATACAACCTTTTTCGAGGGGACAGACGGACAGGTCGTGGGGGTGGAACACTAATTTACTGTGAACAATCCATGTGTGCAACCCAGTTTAGTAACCCAATTCTGTCACAACTCAATGACTCGATCTGGGTCGAAATAAAAGTTGTCAGAAGTAAACCTATACTTGTGGGTTGTGTGTACCGGCCCCCTTCATCCAGCAGGGAATATGATAATATGCTTAGCAATATCTTTAATGTTACAGCCAATCTTCCTTTCAGTTATAAAATTATCGGAGGCGATTTCAACTTGCCAGAAGTATCATGGTCTTCACTCCGAGGACCCCAAAGGTATGATAATCTCATAAATTCCATCGTCACAGGAGGGTGGACACAACACATAAATTCACCCACTAGATCCGCAAATATCCTAGACCTTATTTTCACGAACAACATAACGCCATCTACAGTACATGTGGGACATGAATTTCCAGGTAGTGACCATAGAATAGTAGTTTGTTCTTTTGACATCTTTCCTGAAACAAAACGCAGAGATGAAGCTGGCCAGATACATACGAGATTGTACACACATGCTGACTGGGACTTGTATCAGCACCTAATTAGATGTTCTAATTGGGACTCGTACTTTTCGAACCAGTCCTTAGATGCAATTCTTAACAACTTTAATCAGAATATTAACTCAATTCACGACGTCATTGCACCCGAGAAGATTCTTAGCTTCAGATTCCCCCAAAGAGATTATATTCCGACATCGTTTAGAAGAAGTCTACGAAAGCACTCAATAAAATACTACAGATATCATGACTTATCGTCATTAATTGCCATAACGTCCCTTCTCAGTAGAATTGAAGAGTTGAGAAATATAGGCCTCAGAAACAAAGAAATGCAGGCCATTCATGCACCGCATAACTCAGGAGAAATAGCCAAACTTTTTAAAAGTAGGTTGACGAACTCCAAAACACCCTATCCGAAAATAATATACTTAGGTGGCATTGCTTACGAAAATAATGAGGCGATATGTGAACTGTTTAGCGAGCACTTCGCCAGATTATACACCTTAGAGAACGATGAGGTCATGGATTTCCCACGTAAAACAGACGAATGTTTAAGTGACATAATTTTCACCACACACGAGATCGATAAAGCTGTCACAAATGATGCCTGTAAACTGGCGTCCCTCATGTACTGTATCATGAGAATAAATTTATTTATTTATTTATAAATCTTAAGCTTAGTAACACTACTGGTCCAGACGGTATATCTTCTGTTCTGCTGAAAAAAGGTGGTAACGACATGGGTTTGCTCTTACTGAAGTTGTACTCA